GATCCTGTATGTCTGAAGTGTGAAAAATAAAAAATTAGGTGAGATGTGGGAATAGGATAATAGAAGGGATGGAGTAGAGGAGGCTGGTGGATTATTTTGTGCTTTTTCATGTCTTACTCTTTTGTGTAATGGTGATTTCTTTCTCAACTCCAACTAAATAAAATTTATTCAGTATGTTTTCATATTCTATCTTTTAAAATATGTCTTTTCTTCTGTTTTTCACTTCCCCATTGACTGTAGGGCACCATCTGGAATAGAATTCCAGAAATATTTATTTGATGAGTGAGTCTAAAGTTCAAAGTAAGAAACATGGTTCTACTCGTGCTGAGTATAAAAGCTAGGAAGATCTACTAAAATATAATATAGGCAAGTAAGTGCCTGCCAAATATGCCTGAGAACATTGGCCTAAGTCAGTGCTTAAGGCTAGATTTCTTCATCTTATATTTTAAGAACAGTGAAGATAGAAAGAAGTTCTATGTAATTCTTGAATTATTTTGAATTGTTAATTGTGTAATCTCTATCTAGTTCATTCCTATTCCAAACCGTTGCTTAGTAGCTAGTTACATTAGTTAAACTCATACAAGAATGCAAGTGAAATCTCAAATCTTTTGAAAAGTGTTAGGATAATGGAATAAATTTGTAATTCTACTTTGGTTCCACCTAGAAAATCATGTTGATTCTAAATATAATCTAGTATTGTGTCAAGTCACCATGTGATCAAATAGCCCTCCCTTAGATTGATGCTACCCTTGGTAATGTGCTGCTAGGTATTTCTATTTGTGTCTATCTAGGCTTACACCTGCATATTTTTTTGAATGCTTACAATGTGCAGATGCAAATTCCTTTTTTGTGTACCCAGTGAAAGTAGTGATCTTTCAAAAAATTAACATAGGTATGTAATCCTTATAGTATTAATAAATAAATCAAAAAGATGTTTGTTCTTATTGTGATCTTCAGTATGTAATATATATGATAAGGCCAGATTCCTTAATTCATTTTATAATAGTTAGTTTACTTGTCTATAGTCTCCAATTGTCTTCTCAATTCCTAGTAACAGCTACAGTACCTAAAATCTTGTATTTTATTTTAATTACCTACCAGTTATTGAGATAATAGGTTTCTTTTCATTTCTCATGATCTTTACTAGAAAAACTGGCAATGCTATGTGTTGCATTTTTTGTTAGTGAGCATTTCAGAATTTTTACTCAGAGATGAGGAAGGAAAATGGATTTTTAAAACACTTTAAAACGTGTAAATGTACTTGCTAGCCTCAAAATTCCAAATGATTACTTCTAACTTTTACTTTTTTAGAAAAGAAGAGGCTTATTTGGGACCCATAAATTCTGCCAGGTAAGAAATACTGGTAGCTAGAGACATGTGACAGGGTTTTTTTTTCTTTAAAAAGCGTCTTTACTATTATTTCCCAATAAATCTGTGACTTTTTGTGTACAGTTACTAACAAGAGCTAACTTTATATGACTTAACAAGCATTTTTTCACTTAAAACATACATAATAAACACTTTAGTAAAGCTGTTGAAATCACTTATTTTTAACAATTGGGTGTCAATGAAATGCTAAATGACTCTTTAAAGACATGTCTGTTTTGTTGCAGTTGGTCCTACAATTTATGGTAGTATTCTACATACAAAATCATTTTTAGATAGAGAGTTTTGGTTGTGCTAAGTTGAATCATTTGTATTTATAACATATTAGAGTTTATGAGGATGTTTTTATTCACACTGAATATTTTCTTAATTCTGAACATTGGTTATTGAGTAAAAGAATCACTCTCAAGTTATTTACATAAATCTCACTATGACAGAGAAGTGATACCATAATAAGATATCTGTAATATAGTGATATCACACTAGTGGGAAAATTGACTATAAATTAACACCATAATGACTATTTTCTTTTTTTTCCATGCTATTTTCATTTGACTCTTAGAGCATCATTGGAACATTAAAAGATAAAATTCAGAACTCAGAATTTTACTCTTTAAAATCTGAAATCCTTTTTATGATAATGCCAGATGAATGACTCACATATTGATGATTATGAATCCAATGGCAAATACTCAAAAGCATCAGCTTAACATTGTCTGTTTTCAGAAACTAGACAAATCAGCAAATGGAACATTTTCTGTTACACCACTTAAAGTCTTCTTTTCCTTAAATATGTTCCCCAAATAATATTTGAATCTCTATGAAAACTATAGTTATAAAATTATCGAGGAAAATAAAAGAGATTTAGAGAAGATAAAAAATAAGTGGAGGTTTTCTCAACATTTCTATAAAGAACTTGAGAGACAAGTGGAAAACAGAAACCCAGGATAAGGCTTTGCTGATGAATGACAAGCCATTCATAGGATGAGAAGGCAGGAAGAGTTGATTATAGTAAACAAGAAAGGAGTAAAAGAACTGTGCTTGTGTAGTGATTTTGTGAAGAAAGCCAGGATTATCTATGTACACTCAAAACATCACAAGAAGCTCCTCACTTGTTACTGGGGGAGCCAATCAACGGGGATCTGCCTGCCTACATGTTTGGAGTGCTCTGTGCTGAGTCCCTGTTCAGGATGGAGAACATGAAGTTTGTTAACAGGAAGAGATGCTTTCAGGCTGATGGGGTAAAAATGTGAAATTTGGACAGAACAAAATTGTGTCAGGCTTACTTTAAAAATTACATAGCTAACAATCACAAAACTTTAAAGGAAACAATTACCTTCTAATATGTTGTTGGAGCTATCAGTTACCATCTAAGTTTACTAACATTTGAAAGAAGATTTTTGTTAGATCTGTCTTTTGTCTGTGTTTCCATATTTGGGTTTGGGAACCACTGATATGTTCATTTGTTTGTTTATTGAGTCAAGAATTCACCAAGTACTCCGGGTTAGCCTATAAATTGCTGGTTTCAAACGTTCACCCACACAAGCAGTGGAGTTACATATGGTTATACATGCCCTACTGTGCATTTAAGTAATGAAAGGTTTTAATAGTAATTTTCAGTATGTTTTGAGATGAGAAATAGGCAAGGATTTACATTAGTAAAAGTATGATGATCTGAACATTATTGATGCTTTCCAAAGTGTTTTAATTTGATTTAAAGATAATTGGTACATGTGTAAGGCAATGTGACATACCAAGAAAACCTAGATTTGGGAAATATTCATGTTCTTCTCATGTGTTTTGAATGTCAACAGATGGGAAATGTTTCTCAGAGCCTTAAAACAAAAAATGCCTCAATAAAATCTGCGTTTTAAAAATCTTTGTAAAATTATGGGCTTCCCTATTTTTGCCAATAAAATTTAGTTAGTTAGTTAGTTATTTTCTGAGACTGAAACTCAGTATCTGAGGCTTGCTTTAGATCATTGGCTACAGCTCTATGACCATAACTATGTCCCTAAACCCACCTGTTTTATTTTTAAAACCTATCTAAACTAATGTATTGTTTCTAGCAATCATCAGAAACTACAGTTCATTAGGTGGGCTTATGTGTATGTGCTTGTAAATAAAATACAGATAAACTAAGGTTATATTTCCTGAATTAACATTTATTTTGTCCCATGGAGAGTTTTTATATTTTCATTTTATTCTCACGAAACAAAATTTAAGGTCTGGGCTTGGGGCTCAATGGCAGAGCATGTGTCTAGTATGTATAAAGCCCTATGTTTGATTCTGCATACTGCCAAAATTAATACATTAATGACCCTTGAACATAAGTTTTCAAGTTATAATACTTTTATAAGTCTTGGAATTTTAATGTGCATAGATTTGTGGAACCTCAACACTTAATATTCAATTCGAATATAAGAACAATTCTGTCACTCCAGAAAACTCTTTTAACAAAACACCATATTTCTTCTTTAAAGTGGGAAAATGTCCTATTATCTCTCTTAAATATATAGAAAAAGTTATGCTAATTGATTACTCAACTCTTCAATCCCCTCTCCTTTCTACTGTATTTAGGCCATTCTAATAGCTGATTTTGTGCTTTGTTCATTTGTAGCCATGACCAAGGATAGTGTTGCTTTCTCTTCTCTATCAAATATCATCAAACTAATCCTAGCCTAAACTCTAACCTCAGGAGATTTCCTAGATTATGGTGTCAGTTGATCTGTCCTTATTCAGGTTTCATCTAAGTAATTCTTTGTTCATCCTCTGCATTGTTTTTTCAACTGCCAGTTGTTTGATGTTAATTCTAGAGATTGTGTTCTGAGGTACACAAAAGAATTATTGCTGAGTCTCTTTTATATGCTCTGTAGATAGAGGTATTTCTTTCTCTGAGTGTTATAATGGCTCTGTGACATATTTTTCTGTGGATAAGTACTTTCAGCACTCACTATTTCTTTGAATATATTCAACACATGAAAGCCAAAGGGGGAGAAATCACAGGCTATAAATCAAAACTTTACTTGATCAATATTTAAACAAGAGTTGCATATTAATCAATATCTTATAGCCATTTGAATGTGCAGTTGTGAAATGCATTTCCAGTAGAATGAATTTTAGTCAATAGTACATGAATTTTAATAAATTATTGTAAAATAAAGATCCACATTTTCTGTGCTGTAGTAAGAGCCTGATATTTATGACTTTGCCACAAAACAAAAATTTAGAAGTTGAATGTGTTTGTAATAGCTGTCACTGAGGTCATCGTAAGTTTTATCACCTACTACAGGGAAATATTAATAGCTTTCGTTTTCTTGTCGTATGATTCTTTAAGGTTTATCAGGTTCTTTCTGTGAGTATGAGATTTCCTGGAAAGTGTTAATTCTCTTATGCATTTTTGTGTTATAATTTCAATTTTTTTGCTTTTGTGTTTATCATTTGTTTTTGTCCTTAATTCCCAGAGACAAGAATATTCAAGTGAGATTCTTTTTAATCCTTATTTGAGAAGTAAAAGTCAAAACATTCAGGAATAATACAGTAACTGTTATTTGCTCACAGTATTTTTTGTCCTTTAAAGATATAGGTTGACTTTTTTATTATTTGCTCTTCAGATGGATCCTGTGCAAAAAGCAGTTATTAACCACACATTTGGAGTGTCTATTCCCCCAAAGAAGAAACAAGTTATTTCTTGTAATGTCTGTCAGCTCCGCTTTAACTCTGATGTGAGTATTATACCTTTTCAAGTTTGTAAAGCTGAAAGTCTGATTGGTGTGAACATGTATATCTCTTCATAATTGTATTTTCTCAGGAACCTCCTTACCAATTCCTGTTGGCGAACCATTTATTTCCACATGCCAGATTTACAAGCAATTGGGATTTATTCTTAAAACTCAAAAATAGAGGATATGATTGGCATCAGAAATTAAGAATGGTTCTATATATTCAGTCTCCCTTGTACTGTTTACACATATTTTCACTAATTATCTTTGTTTGGCAAAAATACTTGAATAGCAGAAGGTAGAAAAAATTGCAATGAATGGTGAAGGAAACTATTGTTATTATTTTTATGTAAAGTGTCACATTTCATGTGTGTGTTAAATCTTGCTAAATACCTCAGAGAACAATTTACAATGTGAGTTATATTTTCACAGATCAAAGAGGTGCAGGAAAGCTTCATAAATTATTTGATCTAGTCAGCAGAACCAACCTGCTGAAAACAGATACCATGGAGGTGGTAAAAATCTCTCTTACGAAAGTAGATTTTAAAGCATATAAATAAAATAATAAAGAAATTTTGTAATAACCAATGATCAGATAAAGCCAACTACCAATACAAATCAAAATCTGAACACTGCACATCATATGCATTATATCTTGATCCATTCGACCTCACAAGCCATTTTATAAAGTACATGATGTTACAGATTAATGTGTATTTTGAGGTGCAAAATTAGTATGTATCTCTCTTTATATAGACCACTAAATAACATTTTGATAGTTCTGCTTAGTAAATATAATATTTATAGTGCCTATTGTGGTATTCCACACCTGTAATGCCTGTACTTGAGAGGCTGAGGCAGAGAATTTTGAATGAATTGTCAGCCTGGGCTACATAGTGAGACCCTGTCTCAAAAAAAAAAAAAAGAATTATAGTAATTTGGGGGAAAATAAATATTTTTTGGTTTATAAATTTATATTTACTGCAATTTCAGTTTTATAAAATTCCAGTGAATTTTTGGTGTCTGATAAAATTCCATATTCAGTAATATAATGCTATCTGAACAAAGAAAAATATGGTTTATTCAAAATAGCAATATTGTTAAGATATCAATTCTCTTCAAATGATAGGCCCGGCTGAATCCCTATCAAAATCTGAAGATTTTTTTAAAGATGACACACTGTTTTGCAAATATGCATAAAAAGAAAATCCCTGCCATAAACAAGTATTTTTCTATATACATTTTGAATATTTAACATTTCCTGATTTTAATACTCAGTGACCAATAGACATTGAAAAACCATGCTCTATTCATTCCTTCTTTCCCTAATTATTTATAACAGTTTACTATTTTGCATATATTTCAGAGTTTGTTTATGGAAATGTAACTGAAAGTGAATGTATATTCTTATTTTTCCCCTTTTTGCATGAAAGGTAAAATATTACTTTGCTTTGTATTTTAGCCTAACAATATGTATTGGAGAATTTACTCTTTCAGAGCATAGAGGAATTCCTTACTTTTTTCCCCCCAAATTAATACAGTAGATAAGGATGCTCGTATCTTAAATTCTGGAAACTGTTAAAGCTATCTTACATTGCAAAAGGTGGCAGGTAGAATGAAGAGTGCTAATCCTGACCCTAAAATAAAAATATTTTACTGGTACTACAGGGACAATGTAATTTAAATTATCCTCCAAAGAAAAGAAAGGCAGAAGAAGCTGTCAGTGTAAGATTTTACTGGCCATTTTGGATTTAGAAGTAAAGGGAATATAGGCAGCTTCTAGAAGACAGAAATACCAAGAAATCAGTTTTCCCTTAGATTCTCCAGAGGGAAATCAATCCTGCCAACATTTAGATTTTAGCCCACTGAGACCTATGTCTGACAAAAATTAGTACTGCTTTGAGTATATGATAAGTTGCTTGGAAAGCAATAGTTAACTAATATATTAGTCAAATATTTAGGTTCCCCATATTTACCTAGAATCAATAGATGGACATTTAGGTCATTTCTATTTTCTTTTTTTGTTGCTATTTCATACATTTTTGTAGTTAAAAATGACAGAGTAGATCATTAATCTGTGTATCTTGCTTCAAAATCTGCAGTGCTTCTTATTAGCTGTGTCTTGAATAATTTCACTCATGTTCTGGGTATGTATGGAGTTATTCTTATAAGATAAATGCTATCTATGCTGGTCTTCAAAGTCCAATAGCAACTTTTCTTAGCAGACAGTATGGATGACAATATCTATGGTTTGTCCTATGGAGATACCAAATATGCTCCACATTTGCTACTGGATAATGAACTTTTTTTTTTTTTTTTGGGGTCCGGTCGTGGGGCCTGAACTCTGGGCCTGGGCGTTGTCCCTCAGCTCTTCAGCTCAAGGCTAGTGCTCTACCACTTGAGCCACAGCGCCACTTCCGGCTTTTTTCTTTTTGCTTATGTGGTGCTGAGGAATCGAACCCAGGGCCTCATGTGTGCAAGGCAAGCACTCTACCGCTGAGCCACCTTCCCAGCCCCTGGATAATGAACTTTTAAAATGGACATGATGTTCTAAAATGAGAGGACCATTGCCTGTCTATGATAACAAATAATTTCCATGGTATCAATGTTACCAGAATGAGGTATACATATCTGTGTGTCACAGATGGAACAGTTAAGGCCAGAAAGAATAACTTAATTGTCCTAAATTTTATGTCCCTGCCCCATGAGAGTAGGGATGAGAATTTTCTTTCTGTAAGCTAGAATTTCTGAGGAGTAGATTTGCCTTTGGCTTGGGTTCCAATCAGTGTCAGCCATTTTGTTGGTGTATAATGACAGAGATAAGGAAAAATGAGCACACATAAGCCTATGGGACCACTAGCTTTCTTGTCACTTCTCAATAAGTCCACTGGTAATAAAGAAAGAAGTTAAGTTTCTGAGTCATGCTTAGAATCTAGGTAGTAAAGCCATAGTCTGGATGGCAGATTCGCAAATATGACATTTGCAAGTTCTTGGTGTTTAGTAATGGTGCTATAATGTGCATAACTGAGCTCTGAAACTGAGCATTTTTTTATTTTGGGAAGAGTTTATTATTTTATAATTGCCCTATTTACATTTTAATGCAAGAATTAAGAAGATGCTCATCCTTATTTTCTTTAATAACATTTCTAAATCAGCCTGAGACTGAATTGGTTTTACTCTCAGTGTAGAAAATATGTTTATTGAGAAATCTGGAAGGCAAATTTGCACAGTAAACAGACTGCATACTGCAGTTCTCCATTACCACATAAAACTACCAGAGTAGACCTCACTCATAAAAATTCAATGTGACCCATTTTACATGTTCTGTAGTCCACTTTGTCCAGCCTTGATCATCTCAGTTGAGCTCCCCTGCTGCAAAGTAAAAGGCCACAGCTTTATTTACACCATACAGTATTATGTAAAGGAGCAGGCATTAATCACCAACATTTTCTAAATGGACCTTGCAAATTAACACTATTAACTTTGCCAGGAGCAGGCAAAAAAAATAATATACTTTCCAACTTAGCTGTATTTTTTTGTCTTTTCTTTTTTGGTACTGGGGATCGAACCCAGGACATTGCACTTGCTAGGCAAGCACTTTGCCATTGAGCTACATCCCAGCCCTACTTTCCAACTTAGTCCCAGACATTTGCACAAATGTGTGCAGACCTCACTCTCTGCTTTCCTCTTGACTACCTTTTTCCTTAACATGGTCTAAATAGAGAATGAGGTTGTCCTGAACCTGACATTCTCTGATGAATTAGGGCACTGAAGCTACAGTATAGTCACAAATTGATAAACCTAAATCTTCCGTTTTTAGCTGGGAAGTGCTATTTTCAGAGTTAAGCTTGGGTAGAGGAGTAAACATAACACTCCACATTTTTTTTTAAGTTTAGAATTTTTTTCCCTTTTGACTAGGTTGAAAGTTAGCAGATAGCAAATAAGTTCTCATTTATACATTAATTCCCTAGAGAATAGTAGCAGAAACACAAAAGGAAGTTAAGTGGATTCTTCTAAAGAGCAAGGAAACTTGATTTTCATAAACATTTTAAAATAGAGATTACATTATTATTGTTATTATTATAACTCAGAACAGTTTTAAAAATACTGTAGACACTGGGAAGATAGTTCAGTGGTAAAGTGCTTGCTTCGCATGCATGAGGCCCTGGGTTTGATTCCTCAGCACCACATAAGCAGAAAAAGCCAGAAGTGGCACTGTGGCTCAAGTGGTAGAGCGCTATCCTTGAGCTGAAGAGCTGAGGGACAGCACCCAGGCCCAGAGTTCAGGCCCCACAACTGACCAAAAAAAAAAAACACCTCTAATCTTTGACGTCCTTTTTGCTTCATAGGCAAATTGAAATGAGAACATAAGAATCTTTTCAATCAAGTTTTATGTACTCTTAATTCAAGAAATGACCCTGAAATGTCAGAACACAGCATTAATTGAGCGACATGAGATAGTGTTCCTAATGCCAACTTCAGTCTTCTTTACATTGTAGTTTTTTGTTACTTTATTGTACTAGCAGTTTATGATTTTTGTAAATGTTGTTCTTTGTCTTTGATTTCATTTTTAGTTTTAGTTATTCAGTATCTCCATCTCTCATTTTAAGCTCTTTTTGCTATGATATATTTACTCATGTCTGAAGATATGAGATGACCTTGTGCCATTTAATTGGCTTATATCAAAATGATTAACCAAAAATGAACAAGAAGTTAAAAGTGTGCTGTGAGGTTGCAATGGTGAAATAACCTGAGTTTAAAACTCAGTCAGCACTGCCAAAACAAATCATGAGTATAGTTAGTTTACAGTTGGTAATTCCACAGTGCTGCCTTTCTCTGTATTTTGTACTTTTGTCATTTTACCAACTTTCATTTAGATAAGATCATTAGGTTAGTTCCTCCTAGATCTTTCTGCCTATTCCTCTTATTTTACTTTATTCTCACTTCCTGAGTTATTTATTTATTTATTTATTTAAATTTTATTTTGAGTCAGGCTCACACAA